TACATTTGACGGTTCTGATGAGAGCCTGGGATTCAAGATCGAAATTGCAGTCCAGCCTGGATGAGATAACCTTTTGAGAGACCCGATTGTGGGAATGCTATAAGTGCTTAAATTGCTTTATACCGCCTAAGGTGACCAAGTTCTTATTCAATAATTATTAATCGCTTCGAAGACTACTTACATTGAGAATAAGTAAACTGTATGGTCAGAATGGTATGAATATAGGTTGAGAATAATCTTACTTTTTTGGCTTCAATCAATATTGCAATAAATATAGTTTTGCGTAAGTTTTGCTCCTTGACGCTCTAGCACCTATCAGATTAGACGATACTTAAGTCAGTTACATGGCGTTTCAGCGTTGCAAATAGCTGTAAAGTCTAGAACATAAACACTAGTAAAAGACCCATTATATCCTTCATTGAGAGTCTCGCTATTTAATAAGGCAACAGTGATGCCGTAGGTGATGGTCAGAGGGAGTCTATTTTCACAAATCAGGCTCCAGTTAATCACTGCCAGGTCGGCAGCTGTACATATATTCGATAGGGAAGGGACAAAATAAGAAATGTACGGAGAAGCATGCTAGTTTGTTGCCTTGTTGTGGATTAGCAAAAGAGAGGAGCTAATTGATAGTTCTTAGAACTTTTAACGTTTTCCTTTGCCCCTCTTCATAGTTTGGTTTTGGATCCGCACACGAATGACATGGATCGCTAAGCAGGCTAGTCCGAACAGGTAGATGTCAATCGAGACTAGAATGTAGACAATCACACCAAAGTACACTTTAACATAGTCCCAGATGATAGGGAAGCATGGCTGGTATATACCCTCTGCAGCAAGAGGAGGCTCAAGGTCCAACTGAACCAGGCTGTATTTCACATGATTGAAGGGATAGTCAAGCGTGCAATTCGCCTGTTGGGCGCAACAGCTCAGAGGCAGACGACTGGCCACTGAGTTAAACCCACTTACTAAATGGAAGTCGTTTGCACTGATTGCACCGCAGCAGTTGTGCCTTTCCTGCAGGTGTTCCCATAAGATTGTGAATGCTGAATTCACTGTCCCCGATTTTCTAAGAGTGTAGTTTTCCACGAACACTCTGGCGAGCAGATACCGCAGTGACATGAAAATGGAATTGGGATGGAAATTGAGTAGGCCAATAACGCCAACAATGAAGAAGAAGACCAGGCAGGTGGGTACTAGGTAGATATAGAGCAGAGCATTGCTCTTCAAACAGATGCCAAGAAGGCAGCTGGCACTGATGAGTGTGGTGAAGAAGCCGGTGCAAATGAGTATCTGCCTCAACGAGGAGTCGAGGGAATTTATCGTCAACCAGCTAGATAGCTCCTCTCGAGTTCGATTTCTACTGAGCTGGGGTCCAGAAGCGTCAGGAGGTCTAAATTCATCATTTTTCGACTCATTTTTAAGAACAGACTCAAGAAGGTGTTCCACAATCCATACTCGGTCCCTGGGCGTCAGGACGCCTAGAATGAAGAGATAGAAGCCCA